GCAGGAGTTCACTGGGGAGCCTGGGCCCCAGCCTCCGCAGGCCCTGGGCTGGGTCTGGCAGCTGGGACCCAGGGCCTGAGGCCCGTGTCCCCCTGCAGCCCTTCCGCAGAGGCCGGGCTCCAGGACAAGATGGCAGCCAAGCAGCCCCCGCCTCTCATGAAGAAGCACAGCCAGACGGACCTCGTGAGCCGCCTGAAGACCCGCAAGATCCTTGGTGTGGGCGGCGAGGATGACGACGGGGAGGTGCACCGCTCCAAGGTGGGGTCTGCCTCTGAGGACCTGGTGGGGGCAGATCTGGCCACCACTTTGCAAGAAGACTCACTGAGACCCACAGAGCTGCAGGAGCCCTGAGACTTAGCTCGTTTTTCTAGAGACTTAATGGAGATGTCAGGGGAATAATAACAAAACTGATCATTAGGCTTGAGTGCTTATTATATGCCTGTTAGTGTATCGCTGTTTTAGAAGCATTATTTCATCCTGCTAGTCCTGGAAGATGCAGATACAGGCATCAGCCCATTGTATAGATGAGGAAACTGAGGCTCAGAGAGGTTAGTGATTTGTTCAAGGCCGCACCAGGAAGTGGCAGAGGAGCCGGGCTTCAGGCCCACGTCTGGCAGACCCCCGAGTGTTCCTTCTCCGCCACTGTCTTTTCAGCTTCCCTTAATCTCTGGTGTCAGGGAGGCAGTGAGGGGGTGGCCTCAGTGGGACCTTCCAGCCTGGGTGGCCATTTGGCTAAGCATAGGTCCCCAGGTGGGCTCCTGAGCAGGCCGGGGGAGGGGGCCTGGGGGGTTGAGTGGCCTGGGTATGCCTTCCCCCTGGTTGCCTCTGACCCCTCCCCTCTGTGTTCACAGATCAGCCAGGTCTTGGGCAATGAAATCAAGTTTGCTGTTCGGGAGCCTTTGGGACTGAGGTGAGCAATCGTGTGTGTTATAGGGAGAAGCTGTGTAAGACCCCGTCTCATCAGCCTTGCCCCTCTGGTCTTGCCCTGGATTTCATCCCAGCTCATTCCCTGCCCCCAAACCAGCTATCCCTGGGCACCTTGGCTGGAGAGGGGCATCCCCTGGGGCCTGGGGTGGGGGCCAGGGATTGGCTGTGACCTTCCTATTGGTGCCTCCCCAGGGTCTGGCAGTTTGTTTCTGCTGTGCTCTTCTCTGGCATTGCCGTCATGGTGAGCCCGCGCCCGACCCCGGAAACCTGGGCCTCTGCGAGGGGCTCCTCCCTGCCCGGGGGCCCCTGCTGCCTCTCCTCACCCCATGGCCTTCGTGAGGCCCCATCTGTCAAGGCTCGTTGGCTGCCTCCATATCCTGGCTCCTGACACATCCCACCCGTGCCTGCCTGCCCCGCAGCATCCTGGATCCGTGGCCATGGTCCCAACACCTTGTTCCTGGCAACCCCTTGCCCCTGGCAACCCCAGGGCCTTCTGTCCTGGCATGAAGGGGTGGGGGGCAGTTAACGTCCTGGCCCCAGACTGTCCCAGGGACCCTGGCCCACTTCCTGGGGGAAGATGTCCAGGGAGTTTTCACAATGTCCCCCTTCCCCTGAGCCTCCCAACTGCTGTCCCCAGGCCCTGGCCTTCCCCGACCAGCTCTATGACGCCGTCTTTGATGGAGCTCAGGTGACCAGCAAGACCCCCATCCGCCTCTATGGGGGTGCGCTCCTCAGTGAGTATTGCTGGGGAGGACTCTGGGGGAGGTGATGGGAAGCTGGGGTCCCAACTGGGATGGAGAGAAACTTGGGGAGTCTTCCTCTGTACAGAGGCTTCCCTTCCCAGAGCCCCGCATCAGCTGCTGTCTGTCTCTGCTGGGTGTATGCTGCCATCTTGTGGCCACTGATAGAAAACGCACCCAGTGGATTGGGGCTCTGCCATCTTCTGGACAAGCGCTTACTGAGCGCTTGCTGGTAGTGCACCACCTGGGCACTGGGGTGCAGAGATGAATGGGGCCAGGGCCCTGCCCCTCCAGGGCCTCACAGCCTAGGGGAGCAGCAAAATAAACACTGTAAGCTTGGCCTGGTAGAGGCTGAGTAGGTGGTTCTTCCTGGGAATATGGTCTGCCTACCCCCACCCCTACCCCCAGCCCTGGGAATTCCTTAGAGGGAGACCTTCATGGGCTCAGGTTTTCTGTCTCCAGCAGTCCATTTGAAAAGAAAATGTGACTGTAGGACCAGGCAGCCCATCAACCCAGAATCATAACAGAACCTGATAGGGGCAGGGTACCTAGAGCTCAGGTCTCCCATTTTACAGATGAAAAGACCGAGTCCCAGTGAGGAGATGTGACTTGCCCTGTGTCCCACGGTGTGATGAGTTTTAATTTGAGGAAATGCGTGAGGGCAGGACAGGTGGATGTACAGGATCCGGGCTCCCTTGCCATGTAGGGCCAAAGGGACAAGGAACAGGCCCCTTGCCCCTGCCCCAAATGGGTGGATGGGTCGGGCTGTCCTGCCCCCAACCCCTCTTTACCCCTGCCCAGGTATCTCTCTGATCATGTGGAATGCTCTCTACACGGCCGAGAAGGTTATCATTCGCTGGACTCTGCTCACCGAAGCCTGCTACTTTGGGGTCCAGTTCTTGGGTGAGTCCTGAGGTGGGCAGGTAGGGGAGGCTGGCTGACGGCAGGGTGGGCAGGGCAGCTTTGCCCGCACCTCCCGGCTCTTGCCACTGAGGTTTCTAGGAAGTGATGGAAACCTGGCTAAGGAGGAGGCCCTCCTGCAGCTGAGTTTACCTGTGTGCCTGCACACCTGTGCTCACGCAATGGACACCTACCTGTGTCTTCTGAATACACACTCGGGCGTCTCCACAGCCTCCCGCACCCCGGCCCTGAGGTGACCGCACACCTCAGTTCCTGCCGCTGCTGCATGGGGGACATCAGAACAGACGTGTCTGTGGGGTCAGCCAGCTGGCAGGACCCCCAGCTCAGGGTCAGCCTGTGGCGGGGTGAGGGCACAGCCCTCTGACCTCTGTTCCTTCCGACCTTTCTCCCACAGTGGTCACTGCCACGCTAGCCGAGACCGGCCTCATGTCCCTGGGGATTCTGCTGCTCCTGGCCAGCCGCCTCCTTTTTGTCGCCATCAGCGTTTACTACTATTACCAAGTCGGCCGAAAACCCAAGAAAGTCTAAATGGCCACTGGGCTGGGGCCCTTCTCGGGCAAGGAGGCCCGGGGCCTCAGTTTCCCTTTGGTTCATGGGAGGCAGGAAGGACCCTGCCCTATCCCAGGCAGACAGGAGCGGCCCCCTTCCTCCCGGGCTCTCCCTGAATGCTGTGATCAGGGCTTTCAGGTTTGAGGAGGGACAGGGCCTCTGCACCCTGCTCTTTGCCCCACACGATGACGCCTCTTTTCTTGAGCCTCTTGGTCTCGGATCCCCTGGACAGACACGGACTGAAGAGCCTGCATCACAGGGTTTCTTTTGAGAGAGGCTGTGGGCTGCCTCCTTGTCCTCCCCTTCCACCCCAGCCCATCGAGTGCCCAGGCAGCTGGAAAACCCAAGAACTTGACCTTGTGCCCCTTCTCCTTGTGGGCCCTCCCATATGTGGGGGCCTCTCTCTACCCCTACACACAGGCACCTAATTTCCCCACAGCCCAGCCGCGGGCCGACAGGTGGGGGTGGCTGTCTTTGAGCTGGCATTTGCCCACCTCACAGGAAGGCCACAGCAGGCTCTCCGGGGCCTCGATCCAGGCTGCTCTGCCTCCATCCCAGCTCCTGGGGGCTCCTAGGATCCCCCCTCGCCCAACCTGCCTGGGTGCAGAGGCTGCCAGAGGCCTCACCCACATGGACACACAGATCCCCCTGTAAGTGATGGGGCTTGGAGATGAGAAGAAAAGCCTTGAACTTGGCATGTTCTCCAGGGTCTGATGCTCACCTGGCTTAGCCCCTCTCCTCCCCTCCCCTCCCCCCCTCCCCAGGGTGCTGCCCTCTGGACCTCCAGCCTGGGCTGCCCCCAGGGTCTAGCAGGATAGGACTGGGTGCCCTTCGAGCTCAGCTGGGGAAAAATATAGAAATATTTCCGTGGGACACCTCCTCTCATGTCCCTCCACGCCCCTAGCCCCCCACCCCGTAGATGCCCTGGAGAAGGCGGACACCTGGCTCCCTCAGAAATGAACAGCCCTGCAGACCCCCCGCCCCCCGGCCTGTGTGTCCCCCAGTACTCCCTCCTCCCTCCCAGCACTGTCCTCTCCAGCCCTGTGTTCTGGGGACGGGTGTGGAGAGCAGTAGCCCAGGCCCAGTCTCACTTTCTGTCTTGGAACAGAGAGTGTTTGGGGGCGAGATGGGTTGTCTTTAGTGCAGCCCAGCTCTGTCTACTGCCGGGTGGGCCTGTGCCTGGGAACCTGCCCACATGGGGCCCCAGGCTGCTGTCCCTGCAGCCACATACCTAGTGTCCAGCACAGCTGAGGAGAGAGGCCTGGCGGGTCAGGGGCCTAAGGCTGCTGGTGACCATGGCCGAGCCAAAGGGACAGCAGATCTAAGGAAGGGCCAGCTCTTTCCTGGCATCCATCTCCTGCCACTGACGTGCGTGCCTGTCCCCAGGGAGAGCCCTAGGCAGGCTGCCCACTGCCCACTTTGGGAGGTGCTGTTGGTGACTGGTGGGCAGTGCCCCAGACCAAGGCCAGGCCCTCCCTCTGGCCCATGCCTTTGAAGGCCCGGCTAGTTCTCCGGCAGGTGGTGGTTTGTCTGGATAACCGCTGGGACCGGCAGGTAGACCCCTCCGGAGGCAGGCAAGGGAGTGGAGGCATGGGCTCTGGAGTCGGGCTCTGTGCTCGGCATCTGCTGGGGCTGAGCTGGCCAACCTACTTCACTCTCAGCTGGGGTGCGGAGTGCAGGGCAGGGGTGTGGTGAGGGCCCACCGGAGGGCAGTGTCCATACACTTCCTGCTGCTTGAACATTCCAGTGAGGCCTGGAGGGAGGGGCTCTGGCAGGCAGACATGGCCTTAGGGGGCGGGGGTGCGCAGGGTGAGAGTGAGGGGGAGTCCTTGGGGAGGAGATGGTGACAAAGAGGGGAGGGACAAGGGGGCCCACAAGTCTAGTGAGGAAGGCCCAGCTCCCATCCTGAAGATTTGGGAAGACCCAGAATGCCCCTGCCCAGTCCCCCCAGGTCCCCTTTGCCCCACCCCACTCCCAAATCAAGACCACCTTTCTTCACGGTCACTATTTATTCTTCGTTCCTTTTTCTTTTTGTAAGAAATGGTCACAAAAACCAGTGCAAAACCATCAGTGTGGGTGTTGTTTTATATTACAAAACTCTTGATATATAATATAAAAGGGGTCCCGGGAATAAACATGATAAATTAGCTCTGCTCTCTACTGCGAGGAACATTTTCCGTTTTCAAAATAGACTTTCGACGGGGCCCACGAGGGAGGGGAGGGGGCTTCTGCAGACGTGGGTGCTGGGGCCTCAGCTCGCTTGGGGGTGTCCTGGCGGGCCCCGCAGGCATGGACAGGAGACGGGGGCGGGGGGGCAAGGGAGGCTGTTTGGGCCCCAGCCCCCAAGCAGTGTCTCTTCTCCCCGAGGCAGTAGTTTGGGAGCAGGGAAGGTGCTGGGCTCCCGTGTAAGGTCTTCCCTGACCTGCAGAGGTACTCCTACCTGCTGCACCCTCGTGCCACCCCCCCTCCCCAGCCCCCTGCAGCCGGCAGCTGCCACCAGCACCTGTTAACGTATGGGCTATACTGTAACCGCCACAGCCGAGCCCAGGAGGCTCCTCATGTTGGGGCAGAGCTTGCTTTCTTCCACATCCCAAGCCCCTGCCCTCCGACAGCCACAGGCAGCCCTGCAAACAGCTACCAGCCCGAGCAGATCCGGGGTTCCCTTCCAGCCTGGGTAGCCGGTGCCTGGGAGGTCAGCAGGGTCAGATTCGGGTTCCTTGGCACCGTTCTGGAAAGTCCTTGGCGGGAGTCTCGCCCCCCTGCCTCACGGGGGGTCCTCCGTGACCTGCCTCTCACATGCATATGGGCACTTCTTACCTTCGAGGCCCCAGATTCCCCTGGGCCGCCCTGCACTGGAGCCACAGCTGCCCGATTTGACCTCCAGTGCTGCCTAGCCAGCCTGGAGTTTCTCTCTCTCTCTCTTTTTTTTTTGTCAGCCTCAGACCGGACACCTGCCTTTTCCAGGAGGCTGTGTGTGAGCGGTAGGTGGGTCTGGAGGGGCAGCCCCCAGGCCCTTGTCAGGCTGGGCTCGGGTACCAGCTGTGGGGCCCCTGGATCCTGGGATGCCCAGTTGCTAGGGAGCTCGTGGCATCATGGGGTTGCCAGGGCAGGCTGGTACGGGGAAAGACCCAGGCGGAGAGGACCAGTGGGAGGGGGAAGGGAGAGTTGGGAGGAAGGTCCAACCAAATCGCTACAGCAGGCACAGAGCTCTGGTGTAGCTCAGAAGGGGGCAGGGGACAGGGCAGGGGAGCACTGGGCGCCTGGCCGCAGCTCTCTCCCCCAGTCGTTGGAAAGCAGGGGAGGCTGGAAGCTGGCACAGGGCCTGGGAGACAGACAGGGCTTGTCCCAGACCCCGAAGGGACAGTGGAGAGGAGGGGAAGGCAGGCATCATGCTACCCTTCCCATTCCCACGCCTGGGGCCGACATCACCAATCGGGATTATATAATCGGGATTATACTGCCCTCTCCCACCAAGCCCAGGCCAAACCTCAGATCCTCTGCACAGCCTCCACCAGCCACTCCTGACTCAGCAGGGCTGAGGCATCTTGTAATCCAGTTGCCAGCACTGGTCTAGAACCTGAGGTCTGTGTTCTGAGGGGCTGATCTGTGGGTGCTGAGTGTCAGTGAGTCTGTGGGAAGACCTCTTCCTGCCTGAGCCTGGAGGGAGCACTCGGAAATGTGCTGTGGACGGTGAGGGGGCAGGAAACGATGTCACAGCAGAAATGATGAGATGCCTTGGGATTCTTTAGCCTGGTGGATAACGGGGCGCAGGGGGAGACAGTGTGCGGCCTTAACACCCAGGGAAGGAGAGAGAGCCTTGGGCAGAACCACAGAAAAAGGGAAATCTGAAGTCAGCTGTCGAAAGGCAGAATGCTGTCCTGGGAGGTAGTGAGGTCCCCGTCCCTGGAGGTGTGCAAGAAGAGGGTGGAGATGTCTTGGCAGGGATCTTGCAGAAGATATCCAAGCTACAGTTCTGGGTGGGGAAAGAAGAACCGGGTGATCTCGGGGGCTCCTTCCAGCGCTGGGAGCCAGGGAGTTGGTGGAGAACAGGAAAGCGACGGGCTTGTGAGCAGAGACAGGCAGCGTGGAAAAGGGACTCTGGTGTGTGTATGTGTGTGTTCCTGGGGGCTTAGAAGGTGGGGAGTTGGGAAGGCAAACAGCGGGGGTGGGGAGGGGGGAGTGGGGCAGTCTAGAATCATCTTAGCAGTGGAACTGGGAAGAGGCAGTTCCTGGCCAGCTGCCCTGTCTCTTCTGGGGAAACCATGAAGCCGGGGCCCGGGAGGGTGTAAGCAGCTCTGCTGGACCGACAGCCCCGGAGACCACCCAGTTCTTGTTCAGAACGTCATGCCTGTGCGGTGTGACTGTGGGTGATGCTCTGGGCTCCCAGATATTCGGTCCAACAGCTGGGGAGAGCGAGGACCCCGCCAGCTGGGCCATTCTCAGGTCCAGTGTCCGCAGCCCACTGTTGGCCGGAGCAGGAGCAGGGACAACTCCATCGACTGGACGAGGGGCTGCGAGGAGGTGCCAGGTCCTCAAGGACGTGGTGATCCAGTGTCCGTGGGCCCCTGGGCTCTGCCCACCTCTCCCCCAGATTTGCTTCTGCCTCCTTGTTGCCTAAATCCTCACTTTCTTGGCACCAGAGCCCGAGGCTGTGAGGAGAGGGCCCGGGTCCAGGGCTGCGGGAGTCCGGTGGGGCCGAGGAGGGGGCCGGGCACGGGTGTTCCTTTGGTCTCCAGTGCAGACGGCAGCCTGGGTGCAGAGCCCACGGCCCCACCCCGGCATCCAGGCGGGGCACATCAGTCCATATTTTCGTCATTTTGTTTTGTTAAAAAAATAGCTATTTGCCCCTGGCCCTTCTCCTGGCCACTCACGATGGCCTCACCTCCTACCCCTGGACCCAGGAGCAGAGGTGCCGGGGAGAGGAGGGCCTGGGTCCTGGGCAGTGGTGGGCAGGGCGACTCCTCAGGCTCCAGGCCACGCCCTCTACTGGATGCCCCGGAAGAGGCACATGGCGAAGATCATGGCGAAAAGCTGCACAGAAAGTAGGAGTTGGCTAGTTAGGCCGGGCCCCCAGCCTCCCACGGGGCCGCCCAGCCTGAGGGGAAGGGGCTAACCCGGGGGGGTTGGGGGTCTGCCCCAAACCCCCAGTGTGCCTTGCTTCTGGGGAGGAGCTACGGAAGTGGGCCTTCACTTACCTCGATGGCCAGCACCCCTATGGCGAGGGCTCCGGCCAGGTAGACATAGGTTTCGAAGGCGTTGAGGATCACTGTGTAACAGCCCTGGGGGAAAGGACCAGAGGTGAATCCACAGCCCGAGGGACAGTCAGGGGCCGGGGGTCAGGGGTCAGGGACCAGGGCTGTGAAGCCGGGAAACTGGCATGTGGCCCCCAAGCTCAGGCAGAGCTGTTGGCATGGAGCAAGGCTTCCACCCCTGAAGGCTGCCCTCCCTCCCTCTGTGCCCCTCTAAGGACATCCCGGCTGGTGGAAAGGGTCTGAGCGCAGGGTTGGGGGGGGGGTTACCCCCTGCGTCTCTGGGTGTCATTGTAAGACAATCCTGCCCCCCACCCCCGTCTCTACAGCCCCCTGCCCCAGGGGACAGAAGCAGTAAGTCCTTCCTGTGCATGAAGCTGACTTCGACAGGCTCACCCAGGGGACCTTGTCCAGCAGAGAGAAGACATCCTGCCCCCCCTCTGCTGTGGGCAGTGCACCTGGGCCTTCACTGCTCATCTCCCCTCCATCTGGTTCGGCACCAAGGCCCTTTGGGTCCCTGGACTGAACCAACTGGGCCGGCCAATAGAGGGCCCCCATACTGAGCAGCCGGAACGCCCTCATGGCCCCCATTCCCCAGGGAGAACTGGGTGTGGGTTTCCATTGCTCTTCCAGCATCCTCAGCATGAACCTGCTGGCCCTGCATCGTGCGGCCCTCCTGAGGCCCTCACCTTGAGCTAGTCTTGCCTTATTCCCCGTGCTCCAGCCCTACAGGCCTTCTCTTGGGTCCGGGAACACACCATGCTTCCTCCCACCCCAGGGCCTCTGCACGTGCTGCTGCTCTTCTCTCTGGCTGCACTGCTTTTCCCTTTCCAGAAGGATAAGGGGTAGCACTTTGTTTCAAGGTCACGGAGCGCCCACACTCACAACCCACCACAAAGCAGATGAGGACAGTGGAGATAAGGCAGGGAAACAGCGATGCTGAGGGGAGAGAAGACCGGCGGTCACCTGGACAAATGGGGAGTATGGATGGTTTCCTTTTGGTGGTCACCACACTGGCCCGGAACAAAGGTCTAGCAAGGTCACCATCTATTGGGAGACCCTCTGAGTTGTTTCCAGCAGAACTCACTCCTGACTCTTGGGTGACTGTCTTGACCCAGGGACAGCTGAGGAATGAGCTGGAGAAGCTGTCACAGGGGTTAGAATCATATCCATGGGGGGGGGGGGGGGGGGTGTCCAAGTATTTATCCTGGGTTTCCTTTTTTGAGATTTTCTGATTTCTCTTCATTGGAATTCAACGGGGAACAGGGCTGGCGGACTCACTCAACACCCACCCATAGGTGCGTGCCCTCTGCCCTGGCTCCGGGTGGCCATGTGACCAAGTCCTAAGCAGAAGTCGCCTGGAGGTTTCTGGGAAGGAAGCTGGTGCCACCCTTTCCCCTTCTCATGCCTTGAACATGGGTGGATGTCTGGAGCCACGGCAGCCACTTTGCCATCATGAAGTGGTGAACACAAGGAAAGGCCACAGAAACCAGAGCCAGGCCTTGGCTGACATGGCAGAGCCACTGGTACAACGTGAGAAGCCGCCGTCTCCTAGAATCGTTTCCACGTGTGAAACACGAAGGGATTTGCTTAGCCCCTTCAGTTGGGATTTTATTACTTGCAATAGAACATGTTGCTTGCAATTGAACATAGGACATCAGGCCAAGTCAGAAATGCACCCTGGGCCTTAGGGGAGTGGGTTCTGGAGGAAAAACAAACAGACGGTCCCTTGGCAGAGGCTTTTCAAAGGGGAGGAGGCTCGGGAGGGACTGAGTGTCCCGGGGAAGGAGTCCCAGGGGTCAATCCCAGTCACTCAGACCAGAGGAAGAGGCGTCCTGAAGAACTAAGACAGCTGCTCGGGGCCCTCTGTTGGGCCTCCGACAGCAAAGCCATGCCCAGGAGAGGGATGGAGGCATCAGCAGAGTGTGAGTCAGAAATGGGAAGCATGTCAGGAAGAAGCCCTTAAGGACCAGGGCCCATGAAAGGCCTCCCAGAACATCTCACAAGTGGCCTCAGATTAGAGGTTTGGCCACGTGCACCAGACATTCCTGACTTAGACGCTTGTTTGTCTTTCTTATTAAATCCTGAGTGGTGGCGGCTTTCTGTGGAGTTGCCAGCAGCCCAGGCTCCTTCTCCCTTGATACTCTGACATCCAGACATCAAGTCAAAGATGTCTGTCACCACAGCTGCATTCCAGCCAGGGGGTATGGGGGGCGGGGTGCGCGGGGGAGGCAGGCACAGTGCTTTTCCTTAAGGATGTTACCCAGTTGCACAAATCGCATCTGCTTACCTCCCTTTGGCTAGAAGTTGGTCACATGGCCTAGCTGCAAGGGAGGCTGGGGAGGGCAGCCTTTACCTGGTGGTCATGGGGTCTTATAAAGCCCCTTTCCAAAGAGGAAGGGGTGAATGGAATGTGGGGGCAGCTAGCTGTCTCTGCCACTGCATAGGGGACCTGAGGTCCAGAGAGTGTGTCCTGGCCAAGGTGACATAAGGGTCAACAGCCCGGCCAGCTGACAGCACAGCCTGAAACTGCCCCCATGTCCTGCAGTCTGTCCTTACGGCAGAGACCCAACCCCTGGGTGGCCCACCCTCCCCAGTTCAGCAGCGACCTGATCCCAGGGCCCTCGTCTCTTTCTTGCTGTCTCTCTCCCTCGGTGCAGGAGGGCAGGACTGTGGGGGCAGAGGAACTTGCTTTTGGGGCCTTGTGTACCCTTTGACATGACATGGGCAGGTGCAGGAGATGATGGTGCTGAGCTGGTGAGAGGAGGCTGAGGCTGGAAAGAGACTCACCAGATGGTCAGAGTCAGGCCTCAGTCAGGTCAGAGTCCGCTCCCCTGGGACTCTAAGAGGCTTGCCTTGAGCCCTCTCTCCCTTCTAGCCCATCATCTGGTTTTACTTCCTTTTTAGTCACTGTTGCCTCGTGAAATGATCACTTTTGGTTTATTTGCTTCTTGTTTATCATCTGCATCCGCTAACTAAGCCATGAGCCCCACAGGAGCAGGGGCCCGTCTCCCGTCCCCTGGGGGTCCCGCGCATCTGGAACTCTCCCATGAAATTCGCATTAAAGGGCTAATCCAATAAGAGGCATGCGTCCACCCTTATTCTGTCCTGTCTCTCTGGTCTCACACACACACTGAGGAGTCAGGGGCTGGTCATTGGGGAACCTTGTGTCACAGGAAGGGGAAGGGATTCTTCTGAAACTGAATGAAGTTCTAGGGTTGCAAGAAGTCTAGGAGCTTCCCTGATCTTGCTCCCTTGGAGCCAGGAGGTGCCCCCATGTGGCCAATGTGAGCTTCCCCCAAAACAGAGTACATGACCAAGGAGGGGCCCCCACTGTTGATTCTAGTTCTGGCTCCCAACCTACATTATAAGAAGCTCAAGGAGTGTTCTGCCTGGAATCCTGGAACACTCCTACTCACCCTTCAACCCCAGCCAAAATGCCCACTCCTCAGGCCTGTGCCATTACTGAGCCATCGGCCGCCTTCATCTTTTACCCCTTTGGTTGGATGCCAGGAGCCTGGATGGAGCTTCCTTAGCCTCCATTCGGTCCCATATCTCGTCAACAGTCCATGGGATCCTGGAGTGCCCTCAGAGCCTCTGGGACGACCGCCACCTGCCAGCTCTGGCCACCCATGCCCCTTGCCTGGGGGGCAGGGCCTGTACCTGCTTGTTCAGGAACAAGTCCCTTCCCAGGAGGCAGTCCTCCCTGCTCAGCAGGACCCCGTCCCGGGTCTGCGGTTCTCTCCGGCAGCAGGCCTCGGGTACCTCGTCGCTGTCCAAAGTCAGGAGTCGGAAAATGGATGCCAACTTGAAGTCTTCAGGCCCGTTGACCCCGCAGCAACCAAACTAGGAGAAGAGCACAGGAAGGGTCTGTGGGCGGGAGCGGGCCTACAGGCCGAGGGAGAAAGACAGCCTCTCCAAAGGCCAGTGAGGAAGTTCTGAAAGCTCATAGTGCCCCTGGGTGTGTAGGGGGGTCACTCACTGTGATCATGACCGAGTTCCAGGTGGCAGAGAAGACGTCTGTGTCATTGTTGCCCTGATAATGCTTGGTGAGCTCCTTGGTGAAGAATTCTCGGGTGAGCTGGAGGCAGAGGGGGAGGGTAGGTTGAGACCCTACCTGGCAGCTTGGTGCTGCCCCACCCCTCCCGGCCTCTCCATCTGTCAGCTTGGGGGGAAGGGAGGGAAGCCAGGGCCCTGGTGCCAGGCTCCTGGCATTCTCCTAAGCTTGGGACAAGTCCCTTAACCTCCACCTCAAGGCCCGTGGCCTCCAGCCATCATGGGATCACTCACATGAAAAGTCTACACACATCCCTCGGCGACCCCGAGGCCAGGGCACCCGGGGACCTCATTCTGCCCTGCAGCTCTTCTCAGAGGGGGCTTCCCTCCACCCTGAGCTGTTCCTCAGAGCTAAGCGGATGCCCTGGGCCCAGGCCCTGAAGAAACCACAGTGTGGAGCAGGGAGCCTTTGCACATCTAGTTTCCAGAGATGGCCTTAGAAGCCGCTCCTTCCCTCAGAAGACTCTCCAGAGGTCTAACCGAGAGGGAGGCCCGCTGGGCGACTGTTCTGGGGACAGGCTGCTGCCTCCTCCCCTCTGGGGACAGCTCACCTGCTCACCACCCAGGGCCAGCTCGGGTCTCCTGCCCCCTCCCCTCTCCTTTTCCTCCCCCTCCCCTCCTCCCCTCTTCTCTTTGCTTCCAGGCCACCTGTGGATGGGGCCTGGCTCTTGTAGACTAGGGAGGGAGCTGGTGTCCGGGTGCTGGAGCCCCTGGAATAAGATGGCCTGTGGGGCAGGTGGCCCAAACTGGGGACCGGCCAGGGCCTCAGCTGATGGTGCTTGGCCCCTTCTGTGCATCACACATTCCCGGGCTCAGGGGACAGCCTCCCTGACTGCCGCATGACTACTGCTATGCCATCACCTGGCAAGGTGTGGATGGAAGATTCCAGAATCAGGTGTGTCTGACCCTCACCTTCTGGAAAAGCCCTCGTAAGGAAGAGGCTGGTGGGGTCACCATTAGGGCTGAAAGTGCTGGGTGAGAGGCTGATGTCTCTGTGTGTCTCTCAGGACGGGACAGGCTGGCCATGATGGCCTCCGACCCCTGGCTGGTGGCAGGGAGCCAGGGCGTGGGGCCCGGTACGTACATTTTCCCTGAAGATAAAGGCCAGGATGGCCGCCGAGAGCTCCGCCAGGAAGATGATCAGGATGAACAAGAAGAACTGCAACGAGAAGGGGAGGCTCTTGAACCCCGAGACCTACCCCCGTGGGTCAGGGTCCCCGAGCTGCCAGGCCACACTGGATGTGCCCAGGTTGGAAGGACGCAAAGGGCCTTGGGCTCAGCGTCCGGACACCTCTGCCCACCCTGCCGTGCTTTGTGTGACTTGGGACAATCACTCAAACCCCTTCCAGCCTCAGCTTCCTTGTCAGTGAAATGAGGGTGTGACACCCACTTTGGGGCTCACCTGGAACAACGAAGTGATGGACGTGAAGTGTTGTTATGTCGTAAGAGAGGCGGAGCCAAGCTTGTCGCCCAGGCTCTCACAGGAGCGGAGGGAAGCTGCCCCACAAGCCCCAGCGCCCAGCTCCATGGGGCGCCCAGCTCTAGGGGCGCCCAGCTCCAGGGGCACCCAGCTCCGGGGACGCTCAGCACTTCTTTCCTCCGACACTTGCATGGGCCACTGGGACGCCCTCAGTGTCTTTCTTCTGGATCATGTTCCTTTGGACAGAAGCAGCTTCCTGCCACCGTATCTTCATCCCACGAAGACCCGTCATGTACCCTCCCTGGCTTTTCAGCTTGGACAGGCTGCCCCATGAAGGTCCTGAGGCTCCTCCAAATTGCTTCACACCACCTTTGGGGAGCCACTGGGGTGGATTTCAAAATGACTTACTGAGGACGCGACCCGTCAGACGGTTTGGTTTGGTCTCTTAAATGTCCACCCTCCAGAAGCAGCCCTGGCTCAAACGGACCAGCAGCACAAAGCTCCCACACTGCTGTCTTTGGCGGCAGGAGTCTCACCAGTTTAAGCTGCCTCCAGCCCGGGCTCTATCCCTTCTTTTTCCTGGTTAGCCCCCCGCTTCTCCAGTGGAGAAAACAAGCCAGGGAAGGGAACGACTGCTCCCGAGGTGAGCAGCTCAAACATTTCAGAGCAAATCCCTCATCTTAACCGGCTCGTTTCCAGTGCCACGCTACCTCGCCTCGCTGCTGAGCCCTGGGGGTCTGCTTCCCATGGGTCAGCTCTGCGGGTGACCCTGGGCTGAGCTGGGGGTCGGGCAGAGATCCCCTACCGCAGGGGCCTGGGACAGAGGGCCTCCTGTGCCCCTGACCACAGCACCTGCAGTCCATTCCAGCACCCCCAGCCCCACCCCCACGTACTGGCTGGCCCTCGGGCTGAGCAAAGTGATGTGTTCTCCGCTTCTGTGGCCTCTCCTCCCCCGACAGTGACGGAGGCCGCTGGCAGGGCTCCTGGCACTTCCATTTCGCTGGTGATGGATGGTCATCCGGTGGTTTCCCGCGGCCTCCAGGGGAGCCCCTCCCTGCCTGTGCCCTCTCGCTGGAGTTGCTGGCAGTCCGCAGGCTGGCAAAGTGTGGCCTCAGAGTGGCCTCCATCCTCGGTGACTCAGCTGGCTCTCGCTATCGATCGATCGTGGCGGCTTAGACGGCTATAAACTATGAATGAGACTGAGCTCCAGCCTCGCACTCCGCGAGCTCATCGCTCTGGAGCGCGTGCTGACCAGGGTGACTCTGCACAGCTGCAGCGAGACGAGGCAGGCGAAGCCCGTGCACAAGGCGGGCGCGATGGGAGAGCTGCTCAGCTGGTGGCTCTGCACCGAGAGGAAGCGTGGCCTGCGTGAAGGCGGGTGCCGGCACGGTGATCCCCGGAAAGTCAGCACCGGGTACCGTCTGCCGAGCGCTTACTCCCTAGGCCCTGGGGATCGCATGTGATCACGTCACTGAACCCTCTGGGCAGCCAGGAGAGGCCGCTGCTGTTATCATCAACAGCCCATTGTACCGACGGGGAAACTGAGACCCCGAGAGGGCAGCGGGCCCAGCAGGTGGGCCGCATACCTGGGGTAAACGTGGGTTTCTGATTCCAGAACACGGCCTCTTAACACCAAGACATGAGGGAACCCAGGAGAGCCTCCAGGGTGTAAGACTTTCCCACGGCCTGCAGGGTCCCTCGTGGATCAACACCAGTCCCTTAGCTTCCCATTTATCACGTGTTTACATGTGCCAGGAACAGAGCAAAGCAAGGGATGGGAAGGAGGTGTCCCTATCTTCATTGTACGTAGAAGAAATCCGAGGTTCAGAGAGCTCGGTAACCAGTTCAGGTCCCCCAAACAGGAAGTGGCAGAGCAGGGTTCAGAGCCAGGCTGTTAGCACACCCCTGGCCCAGCCTTCTCTCTGCTCCTTCACTCCAGGGCTGTTTATGCTGGGCCAGGTGCTGTGCTAGGTGCTGGCAAACGAACACATCCAAGGCAGATACAGTCCTCATCCCGATGGAGTTCACATTGAGCCAAGTTTCCTCATTCAAGAAATGAAGTTCATGAGATGAAATGAAAGAATGAACCTGGCTAAGTCACTGACAGGGACAGTGGGCCTCCCCAGGGAAGGGGGTCTGCAGGCCTGCCTGCCACTCTCCCGCCTGGAGCAGGGTCCCCCAAGCATGGGGACCGCGGGGTGCCTTGAGTGTGTGGGAGCGCGGGTCACCTGAAGGCAAGTGCCCGGCCGTGCCAACATCGTAACAAGGCCGCTCTGCCGCTCGCCTCCTCCAGCCTGAGGCCCTTTCCTCCTGCGTGACAGGGTCACCACTGGTCGCTTGGAGGGCACCCCCCTTGGCCCAGCCACAGGGCTGATCCCGATGCTTCCTGGGGCTTCCCCTAATAGGGGCCTTTCCACGGTTTGTTCGCCGTGGGTTCGCCTAACCTCAGCCCACCTGCCCACGGACACATTTGCCAGCGATTCCCAGCATCAGATTCACAACACTTTGCCCAGGACGGGAAAACTCACAAAGGGGTGGGAGCTGCTATTCTGCCTCCTGGGGAGCATTTCCAGACTCTTCCAGCCCATCTGCCTACAGGCTTATCTGCTTTCCGTTCCCACTTCTAATAAATATTTACCAAATTTATGCACTTCATGTGCCATTCAACTCATTTATCTCTGTTAAACACACACATCTCTTTTTGCTGTTCTCTTTTCCCATTTAGCATGACTTTGTTATAAAATGTTGTTTTTTTTAAAAAAAAAAATCTGCATCAAATAAATGGGCCAAAAAATTTCCTTGAAACTATTCAGAGGTAAGCAACCAGGAAAAAGGGGTGCCACAAGAATAGGCTGAAGCTGGCCCACTGTATGTGAAAATGCTGTCAGACTGATCAGCAGGAGTGTCTGCAAAATGTACCTTTAGAACAACTGACCATTAGTGATGTGGTCACTGGGAGCCTTGGCCCTGGGCTCAGGGTCCCCGGGACCCTGTGTTCCAGCCTCAGAGCAGGGGCGGGATGCTCAGCTAAGTGCCACCCGCACCCCTCCTCCCCTCGGTCCCTTACCCTGCAGGCCTTTGAGCCTGGGTTCCGGAGGGGCCTCGAGGCTCCTTCTTGGCCCCTATCAAGACAAGTCTTCCCTCCCACCCAGCAGCCTGAGGGAGGGGTCTCCGGCTTCCCTAAGGGGTGGACCCCCACATGGACAGGTCCAGGTTAAAAGAGGAAGTGGTCCTACTTAGTTTTTGGGTCATGAGTCTTTTTGAAACCTTCTGGAAGCTGTGGTGTTTCTCCCCAGAACATGCATGTGCACACCACACACACACACACACACACAGCACACATGCACAGGCACACACACGCAGGCCCTGACATAATATTTTACACATAATTGCAGGTGAGTTTTTAACCACTTGAGTCCATGCCAAGGTAGGAGCCCCTCAGCCCGGGTCTGAGAAAGGAGACCTGGGCCCAAGGGTCCCCTCCTTTGACCTGTACTGTGACCTCCAGCTTGTGTGTGCTGGGCATCAGAAGGGGGCAAGGAGAAGAGGGGATGGGGGGCGGAGAGAGGAGGGAAGTAAAGAGGAAGGGAGAGGGAAGACAGGACGGAGGCGAGGAGCGCTCAGGAGAGGGATAGGAAAGGCAGCTGGAATAGAAACCAAGAGATGAAGAGGAAGGCAGAGGCAGAGAGAGAGAGAGAGAGGAGAGAGAGAGAGGGAGGGGGGGGGAAGGAGAGGGCGAGAGAGAGAGAGAGAGAGAGAGAGAGAGAGAGAGAGGTGGAGAAAGAGTGAGCAAAGAAAGGAGCAGCAGAGATGAGACTGCAGAGAGACAAACGGGAGGAATAAAGGCAATAAAGAAAGGCGTGGGGAGGGGCTACTGTGAGGGTGGGTGGGCTGGACCCAGACACCCAGGTCTTCATTCTCTCTTGGAGCAAACCTCCTCCTGGGCCTCGGTCTCCTAAGCACTGAGGAGAGGGCCGGTCCAGACGGCAGGCTCAGAGGGAGCCACTTAGCTCGCTGCCTCCCCAGCCCCGAGCCCCAGCCCCTTCCTGGCTTGGCTTCAGAGATGAGCCCTGGGGGGCGAGGTGTAGGGGACTGGAGGGGCAGTTCAGTGTGTCCCGGGACCCATACCCAGCTCCCTTTAAAGTCCTGGGGGCTCCCCAAGCCCAGATTTCCCTGGCACCACCTGACACTGCCGAGAGTTTCCCACCAGGGGGCGCCCACGGGCTTCTTTGTCTCCCAGTGAAAAGTTTGCCTTGTGTCTGTGACTGAAGGGCCGAAGGGACCCAAGGCTTCAGTGTCACGCACTTCACAGCGATTTCACTTGGTCTCCGAGACGTGGGGCATCTCCCTGGGACAGTGGGGGCCGTGGAGTGTGTCCTAATCTGGGGAGGAGGCACTGGGCCAGGTCTCTGCCTCTCAGAGCGCCGGCAGAGCAGCCAGAGCCTTGCAAGGACGTCTTCCTGATGACCAGCCCAGACCTTCCTACGGCTTCACTCCCACCACCCACTCGCCATCCACACACACACACACTTCTCTACTCAGGGCTGCTTTTAACTGAACCCATAGCAGGGCTGGGCTTGACCCACAAGTTCTCCTCGCCCTGGGGGCTCACAGGACCCCGCAGGGGGAGAGGACCCACCTGCCAAGGCCAGGAAGGTGAGCAGAAGCCCAAAGAACCACAGCTCATGAGACTCCCACAGACAGAGAAACAACACCTACCCCTTCTCTCGTTTGGCTCCCACTGACAGCTGAGCTGGTCGGCTCCTTGCTTACTTTATGACAAGCAAAGTCACTGAGACTCAGGTTAAGAAACTAGACGAGAGTCACATCATTAGTTAGGGGACAGAGCAGGGCGCACACTCCAGCGAGGTCTGCCTGCTGCCCAGCCCATAGGAGCTGTCCAAGGACTATTTATTTAAGAAGAAAAGTACCTCCAGAGGTCCTATCATTTCCATTTTGGAACTGGAAATGCAAACGGCGACTTATCCAATGGCTGTCTTAGCCCTTGTACCAAGGAAGGAATTATCTACTGGAGTTCTTAAAAGCAAGCAGGTACATAAGCATCGTGGCCAACATTCTCCATTGACAATGCCATGGAGGAGCCTGGCTGTTTGGGCCTGGAGGCTGAGGCCACTCTCCACCTGGGGGCAGCTTGCCCACACGGCACGCCTGGCCCAGCACAGAGCAGGCTCTGGAAGCTGGGGCTGCAAGTCCCCTTGGGAAAGGCTGGCAGCCCCCCCACTTCAGGAGGATGGCCTGCTTGGTCCAGACCTCAGTGCGAGTCCCTGCAGGGTCGGCACCGGGCCCCGTGGTGGGGCGGGATGGCAGTACTCACAAACAGCAGCAGACACTTGTTCTCCCGGATGGCCCCGCAGCAGCCCAGGAAGCCGAGCAGGAAGAGCAGGCCCCCCATGGCCAGGAGGATGTAGACGCCCGTGATGAGCAAGGGGTTAGCAGCCACGATCTCTCGGAAGCCAGTGGGGTCCACCATGACCCAGATGCCGATGCCCAGCAGACAGGCCCCACCCAGCTGCTCGCGGGTCAGGAGGGAGGGAGGGAAGGGAAGAAACAGAAGAACGGAGTTAGGTATTAGATACCCCCCCCTCCCCCACACACCTTCCCGAGCGAGGCCCGGTGGAGGCGGTGGGCCCTGGTGAGCCGGGCGGGAACTCCATTTGCTGCAGGAGCCGGAGTCCCAGCACCGCTGGTCACTGCTCCGAGTCTTCCTACTTACTCTGACCTGGTCTCAACCCAACCTCTGCTCCAGCCCCCCCTCGGCCTGCTGAGAACCATGTATGTGGAGTTTATTTGCTACTTTTATTTTTTATGTTTATTTAAATATATTTTATTGATTTTTTACAGAGAGGAAGGGAGAGGGACAGAGAGTTAGAAACATCGATGAGAGAGAAACATTGATCAGCTGCCTCCTGCACACCCCCCGCTGGGGATGTGCCTGCAAGCCAGGTTCATGCCCTTGACCGGAATCGAACCCAGGACCTTTCAGTCCGCAGGCCAACACTCTATCCACTGAGCCAAACCGGTTACGGCTATTTGCTACTTTTAAATTCCCCTTAAATGTCAGAGCTGCAGGGTGAGGAGGTCACCTAGTCCAACCCTCAGATTCCACACTGAGCCCCAAAGGGGGCCAGCGACTTGCTGAAGGTCACACACAAATTCGAGGCAGGACCCTGGCCTCCCTGACTCCAGCCCCAAGGACACTCACCAAACTCCCTGAACATGCACTGACACCTACACTGTGCCTGCACCCTGCCAGGGACAGGAAAACACAGACAGAAGCCATCCCTTCTGTCCCCAACAGGAGCTCAGGCTGGGCTCCCCACTCTCAAATCTGCACCTGGAAAGCCTTCGTGTCTATGTCTTCATCTGCATGGCCCATCTCTCCATGCCTTACTCATCTTTGGAGAGAGGCAGCATAGATCAGAGAAAGGGCTGTCGTACTTCTTAGCTGTGTGACCTTGGGTAAGTGGCTTAACCTCTCTGAACTTCAGCTTCCTCATGGTTAAAAAAAAAAAAAAGATAGTAATTCCCATCTCCCAAGGAAGAAAGGACAGAATGGATGTGAATGTACTTAGCAGGTTTCAATAAATATCCATTCCATTTGTCCTGGGCACAGAGTATTGGAAACAGATCAGTTGCAGGAGAGCCAGTTTGGCATTGTTGGATTTTAAAGGCTGTAAAGTGTCTGAAATCCCTGTGTGGCGCGGGGGCCTGAAGAATGAGTGACAGATGGTGGGAGGAGCAAACTGCCAAGCTCTGGCTTGGCTGGGCGAGGTCTGCAAGCTGCAGGGAAGCGCTGCACAGTTTGGGGCAAGAGATGATATTTTAGGTACAGTTTGGGCGGAGTGCGGTGGAGGGGCTGGAGGCACCCGGCACGGGGAAGAGAGAGGAAGGGAAAAGCGACAATTTTGCCTCTGTCATTGGTCCTGACCAGCCTCCAGTATGACCTGTGTCCCTCCTCATGGCTGGTGGAGGGTTGGGGTCTGCCACCGGTGTGCTGAGGTCCGCTGCAAGGAGGGCTTGTGCAGACTGAGCTGCCCAGGCGACTCTGCCCACTTCAGGTGGAGGCACTGGGGCTGGCCGGGGGTCACCCAGCTTAGAAACTGGGTCTAGAATTCAAGTCTGTCGGGCTTCCTGCTCTTCAGGATTATGGGGCAGGGGCGGGAGTCCAGGACAGTTGCTGAGATGAGTAAAAAAATGGATGGAGAGACAGACACAGCCAGCCTTACCAGAAAGGGGCCTCTTTTTCATAGTGGCCCTCCCCTGGAGGACACTGGTGGACGTTTAATCATCCAGGTCTTGGCAGCACTAAGATCAAAGGTTCAGGTGGGGCAGGGAAGCCTGCAGGGGCTCAGGACGCCAGGAGCGTGGCTCTCTCCTGGGCAAGGCCACGGGCCTGAGCACAGCTTTGGTGGCTGCCAGCAGGTGGGCAGTGCTGCTGGCCACCTGAGCACGCTGGGCTCTGTCCATCATAGGTGGGAGGGGATGGGGCTCAGCTACTGAGTGCTGACGCAAGGCAGGCACTTCCTCATCTTGCTTAATTTTTTTTAAAAGACCTGTTGAGATAGGCAATGAAGGGATGAAGATACTGAGGTTCAGAGAGGTGAAGTGTGTTTCAAATCGCATAGCTGATAAGATGCTAGGCTTGGCTTTGAATCTAGGTCTCCCAGTTCTAGAGAGGTTTCTGCATCCATCAGGTTCCCCTCCAGCTGGCGTCTGTAAGGCTCTGGGGTTAAGGCTAGGTGGGGCTCCCTCTGCTGTCCTCTACTCACCCCATCTCCTCCTTTCCCCAAACCCACCGGGGTCAGATCCCAAGACAGTGGCCAGGACCGAGGCCCTCACTCTTTGTTGGAGGAGCTGGACCATCCCGGGCCCAGGAAAAATGTCCCTCCTAGAATAGCGGGCTGTTTGGATTGGGGTGGGCACCGCGGGGGCCTCCCATCCAGGAAACCCTGGCCCCTGTGCCCGCCCTGGGACTCAGCCCATTGTGACTATTTCCAGCAGCAGTCGGTTCTGCCCACTCAGCTGAGGCCTAGGGCGACCGCAGGCACGCTCCAGGAATACTTACAAATATGAAGAAATTGAAAACAAACATCAGGTACTTCATGCAGCTCAGACAGTCACCTTCCATGGCTCCACCTGCAAAACAGCAAGGCTCTCAGGCCTCCCCCTGGTGGCCCTTGTCCCTTCCTTCCTGCCGCTGCCCAGCCACCAGGCGGCTCCTCTGCCTGCCCTTCCAGACCCCAACCGGCTGCGTTAGCGGTTGTTCCCTGTCAGGAGAGGTAAGGACTCTGACGTGGAGAATTTCCGAGCAGGGAGATGAGTGTGTGCAGTGGTTCTCAAACTGGGTTCCCTGCCACTAACCATATCCTACAGCTATTTTCAGGACATCCAATAACATCTCAGAAACCAACCCCTCACCACTGGCCAGGCATGTGTCTTGGGTTTTAGAGCAAGTAAACCACTCCAGGGTGGGGGGCCCTGTTTCTTGGGTTATTCAGAAGCTCTGGCCACTAGGTATGTAGGACTTTGCAGTCCAAACACGAAGGTGGGACTTTCACATGTACTTAACCAATGACCTAGTGATGGCAACCCTGTTTGGTAGATAAAATCCTTGAAGTCTTGGGGCTCAGAGGGATGAAATGTGGGAGTCAGCATCACAGGCGAACTTGACCGTGTGAATTCAATGTCCCACGTGCACTGGGAAGGCGAGCAGGAGAGCAGCTTAGGGGCTGAGTTCTGGGGCATCTGCCGCACGGGGAGCACCGGGGAGAGCCCTGGGCCTGCTGCCTTGGGCCTCATGGTCTCAAGGCACCTGTGCCTGCCACCGTGTCCCCGCACCTGGCCGAGTGAGGGTTCCGGGCTTAGAGATGGGTGTTCTTTCCCCGGACGCAGCCAATTGTTTCTTGTATAACAAAACCAGGCGTTTTAGAGCTTTGAGGGGATTTAAGGGAAGCTTTCCTTTGACACCGCTGTTTGTGTAAGCGCTGGCTCGAGCTTAGCCCTCGTATAACTTGTGTCACCGGCATTTCGGTGAAAGAAGTTCTTGGTCATAAAAAGCCAGGGGAGCGCTGATCTGTTCCAACACCTTCATGTTGGAAATGTGAAAACTGAGGCTGAGAAAGGGAAAGGGGGTTTGGCCAAGTTCTAAAACCAACTAGTGGAGGATCTGAAACTGAAGCCTAGACCAGTGCCCATGGATACACTACGTATCGAAGTTTTACTCATTGATCCTGGTAGCACACATCTCCCGCTGTTAGAACGTACACTTCCTAAAGGCATGGACCTGTTTACTGCCACCTTCCTAGTGCCTCGAGCAGCACCTGGCACATGGCAGATCCCCAATTAATATGTCTGAATGAATGAATGGTGGGAAGAGAAAGCAGATAGAGGACAATGGCCAGCAAATTAGATAAAGACGAGTCAGGAAGAGAGAGAAAGATGGAGAAAGACGGAGAAAGAGTGAGAGAGTAAGAAGTGGTATAGGAAGAGACAGACGGACAGAAAGAATTGACGGGGAGGAGGGTAGGGTAGAACGGCACAGATTGAAGAGGAGGCAGTTGCTGACTTGTCACCTGGGCAGTTCTTTCGGCGTCAGCAGGACAGAGTCTCCTGGTCAGAGGGGCTGCTGTATAATTCTGTTATTGGCCCGGCTTGTCCTATAAGAGAAAATATTCAATTACCTTAGGAAGTCATTAAGGCACAGCCATGTTCAAGAAGCCATTTATGAAAACCCGCCCTCCGAACACACACTCAGGCAAGTGCCTCGCTCATCTAGACCCATTAGGGCTAATGAAAAGCCCTCAGCACCTGGGCCCCTCCAGCTGCAGAGGCCGGCAGGGATGCCCGCCTTCTGCCCAGATGGCAGCTCTAGGTGCCCCTGCTGGGGCTGCGTGGGGAACATCTTCAAAAGACTTGCAATTTCTGGCACGGCTTCATCTACGCTGCCACCCTGCATGTGGCTGATGAGCTGGGAGGAGACGATGGGCATGGGTGGCCCATGCACCTGGCTGCCACCTGGCTGCTACCTGGGCATCTGCAAAGATACCTCAGTAGAGCATGCCAGTGGGGCCCTGTTCATCAAAGCCCCTTCCCAGGTCCCCCATCTCCCCTGAGAGAGAAATCTGGTGTTGGAAAGGGTTCCGTAGCTTTGCATAAGGACTTGCCGGAAGGGTCCTTCAGAGAGTCAGCTCCTGGCAGTGGAAATGAAGGCCTGGTTTCAGCAGTCCACTGTGCCCAGGTGGCAAGTCCAGTTCTACCAGACTCATGGGGAATTCCACAGCCAGGTCCTGCTCAGACACTGGGCTAGAGGATAAGTTTCAGGGGAGATCTGAGGCCCGGGAGCTTGGGCTGCTGCGCCTCCCCACGGGGAGGACAGGGGAGACGGGGAGGATTTCTGGGTCTCAGGTGCCCATTCAGATTCCTTCTCCCCATTTAGGTTGGTCCATGCTCACTCCACCGCCACTTCTGCACAGCCTGGCACACCTCGCTGGGCACACCTGCCTGGGCCAGCTCCCTGAGGCCTTTACAAAGTTACTTCCCTCCCTGAGTTGTTAAATTCTCCTCTGAACACGGAGATTCTCCATTTTGAAGCCAAAGGTGGTTGTAGGAATTCATGGTATGAGACATAAAATGAACCGAGGTAATATGAAAACACTTGGAAACCAGGAAAGCACAGTTGCCAGGGGCAGCATCATCACAGATGGGAAATAAGTGGATGCTCGAACCACATCCACCACTTACCCACGGAGGTGAGCGCGGGAGAGGACCATGGACATATGGCTGACTCAGGATGGGTAAAAACACCTTTCCCCTAAAGGCCCCGAATTCAAATTAATGTTTACAGTGTTGTGATAACTGAACCTAGTAGTAACTAATAGTATTGAGCAGTTACCGTGTACCAGGCTATGCTAAACATTCCTCCTTCTTCTCTTGTTTCATCCTCACTGAGGAAGTGGGTGCATTATGTCATTTACAGATGGGGAAACTGAGGCTCAGAGAATGTAATTAACTGGCCTGACGTTATTCACGTGGTCAGTAAGACATGGCCATGATTCAGGCCCAAGTATGCTGGACTCCAAACAAAACACCAGTCCATGGACCTGGTACCAGGGAGAGGACACCAGGAAGAGCAAGCGCTAAGCCTCGGTCCCCAAGTCTCCAGCCCAGTGCTGCTCTGCCCCGAATCAGGCAACAAGGCAGAATCCCAGGGACCAGCTAGCATCCCTCCTGTGCCAGCTAGAGGCCTCTGGGGGGTAACCCGAAACTGCCATCCCTTGACAGATGGGGGCCCTGAGGCCCAGAGAGGGGCAGAGACGGGGCGAGGTCACGCAGCGCCTCAGGGGTCTCCTCTGCAGGCCCCTGCCAAGGCCAGACAGCTTTATTAATGTTGCCCCTCCCACTGCCCCAGATGGCGCCTCAGTCCCATCTGCACAGAGCGGGGTTCTCTGATTGAGAAGGACAGCTCAGTTCATAAATCACTCCTTTTACTTTCACTGCCCCAGCCCCCAGCCCCCAGGCATGCTCTCTGGAGAGAGAGAAAAGAAGACAAGTGGACATCAGCGATGGAGAAACCCCCACCAGAGGAAGCAAATGTTAAAAGTCTGGGCTGCTGGGGCATGAGAAACGTCCTGTACGCGCCCCTGCCAGGTGAGGGCGCTGTGGTGTAGGAGCAGCCTCACCCCCAAACCCTGGGTTCCAACCAGCAGGGTCTCTGCCCTGACAAGCTGCGACCTGGCCACCCTCCTCAACACCTTGAGCCTGTTTCCTCATCTGTGCCATGGGGTTTCTCAGTCTAACTCCCAGGGCCCTTGAGAGAAGTGAAGGGGATGATGTCGGGGAAAGCACTTTAGCGGCTGCACATCCAGCCTTCCTTCCTGTGTGCCAGACACCTACTAATGCCAGCCCTGGGCTGGATCCAAGGCACGGAGACCGAGGACTTGCTCAAGTCTAGTGAGAAGCAATAACCCAGTACTTGGGGAGGAGTGTTTACAGCCACCAACCTAGTGCTCTGGGCATGCCCAGCAGGAGAGAGAAAGGGCTGGAGGGGATCCTAGACACTGGGGAGGCCTGTGTGTGGGGAGGACAGGGAGGACCAACATTCACTGGGCTCAATGAGAGTATACTGTGCCAGGGGCCATTACCAACAACTATCTTGCTTGAAAAAAACTGCAAAATAGATTATTATCATCATTCCCTTTTACAGAGAAGGGAAGAAACTCTCCAACAGGCCAGAAAAGTCTCAGAGCCAGAACTGACACCAGGTTTTAAGAGCCACGCTCTCCTTCATCCGGATGGAGGAGGCTGGTCAGAATAACAATGATGCTAGCCGTCAGGTTCAAAGCTGAGTGGGGAGGACTTATTTGCGCTCTGGCTGCGCCTGCTGGGCCTCATCCCGGAGACAGACGGTCTGATAAACAAGCAATTGGCCCTAAATCCTGGAGTGCCTGGCAATGGCACGGACATGGGGACGTGGACACAGCTGAGTGGGGGATAAAATCTAATTAGGCTCCTGGGAGTGGTGCCTTGAGGGTTAACGGTACCAGGCAATCTGCCTTGGATGCAATGGGATCCTAAATGACAGCTCCCCCAGACCCATTGAATCGTGAATGTCCAGAGGGCAAAGCATTGAGCATCCAGGGCATCTGGGAAGGAAATGTATATCTGTGGTCTAGGAGCTGAGGCAGTACTTGGGCGCTCAGTCCTTGCCACAAGCCCTTTCTTCTGTCCCACCCAGAACGCACACAAGCTGTTTCCATCAGAGAAACTCCAAAGAAGACAGCGCCTTAGTGAGGGGCAACTCGAAAGCCGGCTTTTCACACTGGGGATGCCGAGGCCCAGAGAGTGGCAGGGTCTTGCCTGAAGTCACACAGCAGGGCTGGAACCGGGAGCTGCTGACTCGAAGCCTGCTGCTTCCCCCCACGCAGCCAGCCACCTAAGGCTGCTTTATCGTGACTTCCAGAGCGCTTTTCCTATATTACCTCACTGAATTGCCCCAACTACCCCAGGAGATGGGCACGCCTGCTTTACAAGTGAGGAAACTGTGGCTCAGAGGTGCGAAACCACTGGCCCAGAGTTTCACGGGAGACTGGAGAAATTGCTGGGACAAAGCAGGATTCCTTAACCTTCCCTGGCTGTCCTCCAAAGGTGTGGCCTCTGGGACTTGGGCCTGCTGATCCCCAGAGTGACCACGGTCCAGGGCTCCCACCCACCCACATGGACCTGGACTGGACTCAAGCCACAGGGAGTGCTCATCCCAGACCCAGGCAGGGAGTCTGTGTTCCTGCCTTTGAACGGAGACGGCCCTATTGCAAAGGCCTCTGGGAACAAAGGTTCTGCTTCCTCTTGCAGAGACTTTTACTTGCCACGGTCCGGGCACTGAAGGCAAGGCAACCTGGCCAGTCTGAACTTGGTCATGAGCAAGAGCGGTGGAGGGCCCTCTGTGTGTCGGGAGCAGGATGTGGCCTCAGAACATGAGTCCAAGTTCAGGGTGGGGCCCACCAGCGAAATGTAGCTGAGGCAGCATGAGGGACTGGGTTGCAGGGCTGGGAGGGACAAAGGAGGGCGGAGGGAGGAGGGGGGACACCCGCCTCCTGAGGCAGATCCTGCCCTGTCCTTCGCCCCTGCTGAGCCCTCCAGGGAAGTTTCCCCGACTGCCAACCTGGTGATCTGGGGAAAGGCAGGTGTAAGAAGACACAAGCAGACATTCCCAGGGCCCAGGGAGGACAGGTGCAATCGGGCACACCTGGGAAGTCCCTTTGGGCTGTGCAGGCACACTTGGGTTCTGGGTGATGGCATGGGCATCGAGGAAATGGGAAAGGAGGCCAGCTCAGACTCCCAGGACGGAAGGGGCAGGAGTGTGCCCTCTGAGTGTGTCATTGCTGTCAGACCTTCCCCACCAGACAGAAGCCTTCCATGGCCGGCAAAGTGCTCCCACTTCCTCTGAGTCCCCTCAGGACACAAGGGGGTACTGGATGGAACATTAGCAATAGAATGGCTGCTCCTGCTTCACGTGTGGCAGGAACCATGCTGAGCAGGGTTCCAGAATCATCTACACAGGGCGAATTATCCTCGAGTTACTGAGGCTCGGAGGACGTGAGTGAGCCCCCCATGCTGGCCCAGCTGGGGAGGGGCAGGACTGGGAGTCAGACCCCAGAGGGCACACTGCTGCTAAGTGCCAGGAACCCTGCTGGTGGATGGGCTAACAGACAACATGCTCACAGCAAAAACAAGTGGCAAAGAGAGGGGACTGGCTGACACAAGTCCTGGGTTCGAGTCCAGATTCTGAAAACTGGACGAAGCCTGCCCTCTCTCTGACCTTCGAGTCCTGTGGCTGTGTCCCATGGACAACCGCCTCTCTATGCCTCGAATGAGGAGCATGGATCTCAGCCTCCCCTCCCAGCAAGCAGGCATGGTCTCCCAGCCCACACTGCATCCCCCCTCAGGGCCTGGAGCGGCAAGAGACCCTTTGAAAAACTTGGTAATCCAGCCCAAAATATACAGGGCTGTTGCTAGAGCAACCTGGCTGCTACACAGCCTGGATTTAAACATTTAATGGCTTCACAGGCGTGAAGGGGGTCTGGGAACTAGGTGGGAAAGGGCACAGGTCTGAGCAGGGATGAGGGGGCCAGGGCAGCCCCCTTCCCCCATGCACACCCTG